AGAGAGAGAGAGAGAGAGAGAGAGAGAGGAAGTGAGAAAGCAAGTCACCAGGTCCAGAACTTGAACAGTGGTCGGCCATATGGGAGTGTCCAGCAGTTTAACCACCACGACACCTGCTAGTCCAATAACTTAACTTTTTAATCATGATTATTTATATTATTGTGATCCTGGAGAACCTGTTTTTTTCCTTTAATCTTATCTTTAAACTGTACAAGTTAGGTATTAATCTCCTAGTTCTGAAATGTCATGTTTCTAGACTAAGTACCTCAATTAGAGCATTACTAAAGAGGTATTTGTGGAATTCTGGCAGTGATGCATTCATAGGTGAGACCATGAAAGGTGAAGTTCTCTGGTGTATGGATTTAGATGTCACTGTAAAAACCAAGTATTTGTTATAATAAATGTTTCCAAGACACTCTAAGGCCAGTAGTATCTTCTGAATTGACCTGCGTCCACCACGAGAAGCTAATGAAATGCTGGCTAGGACCAGCCTCGTCATAGTGCAGTGGTTAAGGGGTGTGCATGGGGAGCCTGATCCCACATGACCAATCAGTGCGAACCCTGGCCTGGTGGCTGTCTGCATGCTTGCCCAAAACCCTGATAGGATGGAGAAATGAAGGAAAAGGATTAAGTTGTGCCCATACTCCGCTGGTCTCTCCCTCTCTCTTTCATGAGCACATATACCCTCTGGCAATTAAAAAAAAAAAAAAGAGGATGATAAAAAACGAAATGGTAGCCAAGTTCCAGAGCAGCACTATGGGTTGAGTGTAGTTAATCTCATGGTTTTTCTCAAGAGTATCGCTCTAGTGGGACAGTTTAGAGAACATGAACTTGGAGGCTATTAATATCCAAAGATGGTGACAGTTTGGTGAACTGGCACACTCTTTTGGTAATGTAAGTGGTATTATTCTTAGAACATTTTTTTATAAAGAGGTTTTTGCCTTAGGGTGTATGTTCTTGCCAAAGAGAGAGACAGTGAAAGTAAGTCACCGCCCAGGAAGGATGGCCACGCCACAGTCCCTTCTCCTCCATCCTCCTCCTGGGATCTTGGGCACGCAAGCACACCTGCCTGGTGTGAGTTTCAAGCCACCAGGTCTGGGACTCAAACTGACATATAGGAGTCCAGCAATGGAACTGCTTTGCTATCTGCTGTTCTGTTCTGACAACATTTTGTTTTTTAAGAGGTTTTCGCTATAGGGCACGTGTGCTCGCCAGAGAGAGAGAGAGAGAGAGAGACAGAGAGATAGAAAGAGAGAAATCACCCCCCAGGGGGGATGGCCACGCCGCAATCCCTTCTCCATTCTCCTCTCGAGATCTTGGGCATGCATGCACATGCGCCTGGCGTGAGTTTAAGCCGCCGGGTCCAGGACATGAACCAGAGTCGACCACGTGGGAGTCCAGTGACATAGCCATTACTCTAACTGCTGGTCCCTCTTCGAACATTTTTATAAGATATATCAAGAGCCTTCAACCCAGCAGTTATACTTCTTAGGATTTCTCTCTCTCTCTCTCGGTCTCTCTAGTTTTTTGCTATAGGATGTGTGTGCTTGCCTGAGAAAGTGAGGGTGAGAAAGTGAGAAGTCATCCCCTCTCCTCCATTCTTCTCTTAAGATTTTGGGCATACATGCACACTCATCCAGTGTGTTTTCAAGCCACCGGTTCTGAGACTTGAACCACATAGTTGGCTGTGTAGGATCCAGCCACTTCAACATCCGCACCACCTTCTGGCCATTAGGATTTATTTTAAGGGAAGAATCCTTAAAGTAAAATAATATATTTAAGATAAAAACATTGGGGAAAAGGCTAAAAATAGAAAATAGAAGATAAGCAATTATAGTTCAGCCATTAATGATATATTTATATTTATTGGCCTAGAAAAATGCTTGTAACATACAAAGCAGATTCAAACTGTTTATGATCCATTTTAGAAAAAATAATAGAACTGTGTGTGTGTGTGTGTGTGTGTGTGTATAACATATATACACATATATGAGGGAGAAGTCTGGAATAGTGTGATAGTTTTTTTTTTTTTAATAAAACTTCCTTTTTAATGGGCCTTTATTCTTATTACAAAATAAAGGTTAAAAGAAAGATAATCATTTAATAAACATTTATGCAAGTGATTTCTGGTATGTCTCTCCCTTCCAAGATACAAAGTACTTGTAAGTACACGTTGTTCCCTGGATAAAGACAAATGGCTCACTGGGTCTCACATGCAAATTATTTGCCAGTGATTGTGGCCTTTCAGCTACTTAGTTTTTAGGCCAACTTTAAACTTAAACAGATTTCCACAGGATAGAGTTCAAAACTTGTTACATAGGAACAGGGGTGAGCCCATACCCACAATTAGTTCCTTTTACTTATTCTGCACGTCATGCCTTTTTTTATACAGATTTTAAAGTCTTTTTTTTTTTATTTTTTTAAGCCCAGGAATAGTACTTTTTGAAACTATTTATTTCTTTTTTTTTTTTTAAGGCATTATTTTATTAAACTTTTTAATTTTAGTTTGACCAGAGAAGGACAGAGCGAAGAGAGAGCAAGAGAGAGGGGGTGGGGGAAAAGTGAGAAAACAAGCCACCATGGTTGGCCATGCGAGTCCATGGTCTTCAACTACCACGTCACCTGCTGGGCCCTTTTTGAAACTATTTCTTTTTTTTTTTTAAAGACTTATTTAATTCCATTTGTTATTATTTTTAATTTGACCAGAGAGAGAAAGGGAAAGTGAGAAAGCAAGCTGCCAAGTCTGGGACTTGAACCACGGTTGA